TACGTAATCTCTTTCACTTTACATTATTTACAAATTATTAAACTTGGTGATGACTCTCAAACCATAATCATTCAATCAACAATAATTATTCAATCAATCAAATAGACCAATTTAATTCTTGAATAATTAGTGACACATAATATTTAATGTTGAATCCTTTTTAATTCTACCTCGGTGCTAATGACACCTTAAACGCATAAAGCACCACAAATCCTATCCTTCGGTGTTTAAAACACCTTAAGTGCACTAAGGCACCAACATATAATTTATTCCTCGTGTACATAGACACTTATATAGCTCTTTCCTCATGCTTATAGCATCAATAAAAATTATATGAACCATAAATAAATTCCTTTTTAATATTCCAAACTAAATTAAACATTTAGTTTAATTACACATGCTCTCTAACATGCCATAAATATATATGTAGTTCATAGATAATATTCCAAACTATTAATTTCCATTCAATAATCCGTCACAAATAAATCATGCTTCATAATCAATTCATCAATAACATCCAAATCATAATTTCCAATCCAAACCTAGCATGATACTAATTGTAATCAATCAAACACATTTAGCATGTTATAATATTATCATAACTATGCTAAGTACGCGAACGTACCTTGTATACGATCTTAGAATCGCCACGACTAAGAAAAATCACTCACTTCAAAGTCTCCTACAATTTAAAATGATAGAAGAGTATTAAAATCCACTTTACACAAATTTCCAGCAACATATACTATTATAAAACCCCTCATAATTTAATTAAAACATGCTGCAATTATATTTAAAATATCATAATTTAATCCCAATTCATGGGTAATTAAAAATTTCTTAAAGAAACTTGATTTTAAGTGTTCTACTAAAAATTCCAGCACTATATTTTGATTAAAACTTGCTATAATTAAGCCTTAAAAAACTTTAATCAAAGATCTAATTAAAAACAAGAACCTAGCGTTTCAAAAATTGGGGCTTTTTAATTAAAAACATAATCTGAAAATTAATTAACATAATACTTATAATCAAACATCAAAATCAAATCCCAAAACTCATAATTAACAATTAAATTTAGGAATAAATTAGTTTTTAACAATAAAGATTCAATTTTTTTTACATTCGAAAAAGAGAGGGGGAGAGCAGCGACATCGACCACGCCGGCTGCCAGTGCCGGTGGCTGATGCTGATGCCGGTGGTTGGCAATGGGGGGGGGGAGAGCAGCCGAAAAAAAAAAAAGAAAAGGGGAAGGGGAAAAGGAGAAAGAAAAAGAAGGAAAATAAGGAGAAAGGAGAGAGAAGTTTACCTTGGGTTTTTTATTCTCCACTCTGGGCAAAGTTGATTTGCCTCATAAGTGGGATATTTATACCTCTTCTCTATAAACCCTTTTTCCCTAGCTTTCCACTTTTAATTTTCCTAATCCCATCCCTAATAAAACTTTACTAAATTAAAACTTTCCTTAAATTAAAACCCAACTTGATTAAATTAGTTAATTAAATAAAATTTCCTTTTATAATTATATTCAAACTTATTTAAAATGAATAATTAAAATACTTTTAAAAAAATAATTCAATTTAATTAATACTTCTTAAAATACGTATAAAAATACGAGGTATTACATATTGACCCATAAAAATAAGTTAAATTAAAAAATGAGTTCATCCTTTTGGGAGAGAGTATTTACCCCTGTTACTTTTTGATTGTCATGCAAAACAAAACACCAAACATTCGAAAACAAATTTATCAAATCATGTGCTTCTAAACAATTAAATTCTCATTTTCAATAAATTTGAATATTTTATAAATCTAAATAAAAACAAAAAAAACAAAAATTAGAAAATAGAAAATTTACCTGCCATTATCAACAATAAACTTGAAGCTTGCTAATCAACAGCTTGTTGTTTTGGCAAAGCCTAATCAGAAAAATCAAAACTTAAAATGAAAATTAAAATCAAAACCTATATCAAAAAATTAAAATGAAATATAACTGAAATTAAAATTAAAATCAAAACCAGCATCATAAACTTAAAATGAAATACAACTTATTCTTGTCAAAATATTTTTTTTTTAAAAAAAAAAAAATCCAACCAAGATGAAAGGATAATATGCCATCAAGGAGTTGGGTATTAGATAATAGAGAGAAGAAGAGAAGGGATAAAGCGAAATTGAGAGAAAATCATGAGTCAAAGGCATACAAAGGAGTGAAAAAGGAGGTTCAGGAATATCAAATTATAAATGGGGTAAATAGGTAAATTAATATTTCAAGGGATATAATTGTCTTATTCATAAGAGTTTTCTTCCACTTTTTATAAAAAAATTTATAAAAAAAATAGGGATTCGTAATATATTTGATATAATTATATTTATTGCAAAAGGAAGGACTTATTATTTTCAACTTATTTCACATATTTATTACTTGTTCAGTAATAAATTCAGATCAGATTAGACCAGATCAGAAAGATTCAGATCAGACAAGATCAGAACTTTTGATTATCATTTACTTATCGTTAAATATTGTTAATTGCGTAGTAAAAAAATTATAAAAATTACATATTTAAAAAGTTCATAATGAGGCGAATCTAACAAGATCCATTTTGATTATGTTTTTCTTTATAGATTAGTATTAAAATGTGGTCAAAGTTTAGTCAAATTACTAGGTTAGATCCCGTGCCATGCATGTTGATTTTTTTTTTATTGATTGAGAAATATTATAACCATAAATTAGTCAAGAAATAATAAAAGTATGTGATATGTTAATTTGATATTTGCAATTTTAATTGTAGCTTCCAATACACAACTGAAACAAAGTAGGCAAAAATCTTTATTGTAAAATAGGTCACTAATTATTTAAAAATATTGATTTTTGGTATATATTGCCCAATTTATATTAGAAAGATTTGTGAATAAATCTTTTATTTTAAATATAATAAGTATTACGTGTCAATATGGAATATGTACAAAAAAATGATTTTTGTAAATGATTTGTTTCCTTAATTAAAATATTTTTTAAAAAGAAAAAAAATAATTAAGGACACACCAGGAGATGACACGTGTCATCGCTGGTGTGTCTTTTAGTATATAGTATTAATTGATTAAATCAAATCAAACCATACCAGATCAGAAAAATTCTGATCAGACCTTAAAAAATTCAAACCAGATCAACTTGTTTCATGTTAAGAGAACAAGTCTGAAAACTATTTTATTAAAATATGTCGTACAACTTAGCGATAAAATTAGTGAATTAGGGTATGTTCTGATACGTTGAAATTTAGTTCAGTTCAGTTTATGTCTAATGATATTGCTAATGATATAAAGCCAAATTTCATTCTTTTAAGCTCTTATTACAACGACGATAATAATAATAATAATAATAATAATAATAATAATAATAATAATAATAATAATAATAATAATAATAATAAGGGTTTTCACATGGGATATTTTCGGTGATCACGCGGTGTCGTGTGCTGGTATGGTGGGTATTAAACATCGGCACAATGTTGTTTGGGATACCCTTGTTGATATTTGCTCTCGGTCAGGGATTTCTGCTAGGAAGGAGGTGGACATTGGGTTATCTGGAGGGAACGACAGGGCTCTCAGACCTGCAGATGTGTTACTTTATTCATGGGATCGTGGTCGCGATGTTTGTGTTGACTTGACAGGGTCTTCTTCATTGACACAGTTTGGGCTTTCTGACTTTGTTCCTGGATGGGTAGTGACTGATGCGGCTAATCGGAAGCGGGTGAAGTACGAATCTAGTTGCCGAGCAATAGGATATGGCTTCCTTCTTTTCTCTTTCTCTTCTCTTTGGGAGTTAGAAAAGGAGGATGTTGCATTGCTGAAGCGAATCCAGAAGTTTTCGAAGACTCGGGACATTGGGGCGCGTGCTGCAACTCATATCTTTACTAGGATCGGCTTTTCAATAGCTAGAGGAGTGGGGGCCCAGATTGTATCTCGGCTTCCCACTAATTTTCTATAAGGTGTATAACTTTGTATGTTTTTGAGATTATTATTATTAATAATAATAATAATAATAATAATAATAATAATAATAATAATAATAATAATAATAATAATAATAATAATAATAATACAAATCATTGTTCAAATGGTTCTATTTTTCTGATACACATTTCTACTATTAAACTCATTGAGAAAATTAGAGTACTACACAACTTAAACTAATTTTCATAATTGATTAGTTCTTCGTCTTCTTCTTGTCCACCAAGCTCCTCCATTACCTCGACATTCCTCTGAACTGACTCCCATATCTGATAAGTTATTTCTTGTCGTACAATATCCATAGTTGCTTTTCTGTTAGGATCGTACATAGTATGATCTTCTCTTCGCTCCATGACTTCAACTTGGTGCGTGAATAGAATCCCTAGTTCATGTAAACGAGTAAAATTGTGTAGAGTACAACAAGCAACGATTATTTGCAACAGAAAACGTAATTTAATTTTTTTTTATTTTTAATTTTTTATTTAAAAAAAAAAATTAAACAACAAAGTGTTTTGTGTTCTTTTGTCATAATGCTATTTTATTTTTAAATTATATAGTATATGTGTTTAAAATGTTTTGGGGTTTCATGTTTATAATATATTTTCCATAAATATTATAATTATAAAGTATATTTTTCATAAATATTTTAATATGTACATATGTATATACACATATGTATAGTAATAAATAATCAAAGATCACTAATCCGTTGTTAAAAATCACTAATTACTAAGTTCAGTTCAGCTCAGTTCAGTTTAGTTTAGTTTAGTTTAGTTCAGTTCAACTGATTTCAGTCAATGAGAACAGACCCTTATTCCAAATTTAGTAAGTACTCGTAAATTCACAATCAATTTTACTTAATATTGGATAATGGATATCCGAAACATCCGATCCAAAAATTTTAGATATCCGAATATCAGATGTCTGAAATTTTCAAATCGGATTGGATATCAATTTTTGATATCCAAGTATTCGTATATCCAATCCGTAACCAGGCTAAATGTTAACAACCAAAATTAATTTTGTTGAATAAACTATAAGCTAGTAAAACTAAACACTTAAAAAAAAAAAAAAATTAAAAACAAATCACACCACCTTATCTCCCCCGAAAAAAAAAGAAGACAAATTAGAGTGCATTACAACGAAATCGCAATTCACAATTTCAAATTTTCAATAATACATCTTACTTTATTAAGAAGATGATTAATCGTGTCATATTTCATGTAAAGACTACTACACATATAAAACCAAAGTCTAAGCTCATTTCGCAGAAACCGCGCACTTTTGGCAGATCGCACCCATCATTCACTTTTAGGCGGGAGCTATTTTCACAATTTGCCACTTCACACTTTCACTTTCGCGCCTTACTTTCATTTCCCTAACTCAAATTTTCGCCATTTCTCCAAATTTCTCCTTTTACCCACTAAATTATTTCTAAAAAATTATTCACTACTTTCTCTGTCTTCCAATTACTATACTTCACAATTTAAGATCTCATTTTCAGCCTTTTCTCTCTCTCCTCCATTTTCATGGATTCCGAAAGAGATTTAGATCAATTGCTACTTCTGCAGTCTGAAGCTCCTACCCCAACGGATCAGAACCCGAAGATGAAGCGGTTAAAGAAGAACGATTCGACTGCAAATGATGTCACTACCAGTTCCGCCCCGAGTAATGAGATTGATGGGTTGGATACAGGGAATGATGAGTTTGATGGGTTTGATCCTTTATTTGGGGATTCCAGTCAGTTTTCTGCGAAGCGGGTTTTGGATTTTGATGACAGTTTTGATGGGTTCGGGTCTGAGGATGAGAATGACGATCCTGATTTTGATAAGAATAAGAACAAACAGGAGAAGAAGAAAAGGGAAAGTTCGATTGAGTTTCTTGATAATAAGGAGAAGAAGAAAAGGAAAAGTTCGATTGAGTTTCGTGATAATAAGGAGAAGAAGAAAAGAGAAGGTTCGGTTGAGTTTCGTGATAATAAAGAGAAGAAGAGAAGAGTGAGGAGTGATTTAGAGAAGAATAAATCGATTGTTTCGAGTCGAAAGGAGAAGAAAGTAAGGATTTCTGATACTAGTATAGTGAATTGGTTTTGTTTTTATTAAATTTGTTGTTTGAATTAAAATTTCTCACGTTAAAATGATTGTTTTAGGAGAGGAAAGCGCGTTCAAATCAGCAAGCAGATTTTCAAAGGGTGATGAGAGGTAGTTTTATTAACAGAGACATCGATTTTTGAATAATATTCGCAGTTACTATGCATTTATTTTGGTGTTTACAAGTGTATATTGGTTTTGTGTAGATATGAAAGGTGTGGGATTTAAGCCTATTCCTATGGTTGAGAAATCGATTTCTTCGGTGTTGGAAAAGATCAGGAAAAGGAAGATGGAGGTATCGAAAAAGTGGGCTTCCTACACCGAAGAGGATGAGGAGGTAGATGGAGGTGCTGATAAAGACGAGGCGAAGGAAGTTGGAGGTACTAAAAACGATCTAGCTAAGGAAGATGGAGGTGTCGAAAAAGATCAGGTTAAGGATGATGGAGTTGCTGAAAAGGACAAGGAAAACATGGTTTCCTTGACACCAACAAGTGAAGAAAAACCCGAATCAAGTGATGAGCAAACTACTTGTGGCAATTTGATTCAAATAGTATGTTGTGGCATGTTTATTGTTATTGTAATAAACAAGCATTAAGATTCTGATTAATTTGTTAAGAATTTATGTTTGTGATCTGATGCAGCCTTCTAAGGATGCAATCACACAGTCGTTTCGTGCTCCGATCAATGATACACAGGTTTCCCTGTTGACATATCTTTCATTTTTTGTTTCTTACAGTAGTTTGTAAGCTGTTTGGAGTTGTGTTTTTGTTGTTAAACTTATAGTTGTTTAATGTGAATGTACAATCTGTAGGACTTGTTAATGGATTCTGAAAGGAATAATTCACAAGACGATGAGTTACCTAGCTGCCCTGATGAAGATATAACTCCATCAGCACCATCAATGAACTTAAGATGGGATTCTGGCCATTCTGCAGCTGTTGATGATGACCTGTAATTACCATTTTACTTGATATATTTGCTTAGGATTGTTTAGCATGCTTTTGCTTGCTCTTTGTTGATTACCTTGAACTTGATAATCGTATTTGTACATTTTTCAGCTCTTCTAGTGATGAAGAAAGTGACAAGGAAAATACTGATCCCCACCCAAAACACCTGCAAAGAAGTTCCACTGCAACTGGCGATCCAGTCAAAGACTTTGTGGATGAAGAAGCATTGGAAGATGATAGTGATGATGATTTTTTGCGCTCTCAAGAGCAAGACGATGAGGATAATTCTGACATGGAAGAAAATTGTGATTATATTGCTACTGATGTTAAAGAAAAGCCAATTGATGGTGAAATGCGCAACCAATTGCACCAGCAATGGGATCAGCAACACGACGAAGCTGTGACAGAAAAGCTCTTGCAGAAGCTAAAGTATGGTACAAAGAAGAGGGAGCCATCCATTTCTGATAACGAGGATGCTGACAGAACAGATGCTGATGAAGAAGAAGAGGAAGATGATGATGAAGAAGATAAGAATGTACCTCACATGTCCAGTTGTCGTGCAACTACAAAAAGGCTAAAGCAAATGATTCCCCTCATGTTTACTGATAAAGATGATGGTTTCGTGTCTTCTGATGACGAAGAAACAGAAAGAATGTTGTCTAAGCAGTGCTTGCTTCAAAAAGTGGTATATGATACTACAACCTAAATATTTATTCTGCTTCTGCTTCTGTTTCATACTTGCCAGAGTTACTAATTGCTCTCTGTGTAATCTTATAATTACTGGTAATCACTATCAGGAAATGGAAAAGCAGCCCAAAGTTCTGCCACCAGTAGCGGATGAGACATCAAAAGAAGTTCTAGATCGTATAAAGAAGGTTAATGTTCCTCTTGAAACCAAGAAGAAATCAAAAACACCATGTAAAGTCAGACCTATTTGATTAGCATTGTATACTTAATTTTACCTTATAGTTTGTCTGCTGTTGTTCTCATTGTCTTTTGTTTTTCTGTTTTCTAGCAATTTTTGAAGCTCTACTCAAAAAAGGTAGCAGCAGTGACTCTTCAAAGGTAAAGAATACTCGTATATTATGGTATGATCTGCTGGGTTCGGAAGTAAGCAATCTGACATCTGACCAACAATGTTCAGAATGTTTTGAAAGATGCTTTCACTGCTGATTTTTTATACCCTGTTTATGTAACTGATCATTCTTTGATACTTTGCTTTTGAAAATGTAGTCTTCCTTTTTGCGACGAGCATCCAGCCATCACGGGCCTTCAAGTCATAGGCATGGACCAAAAACTGGAAAATCATTTATTTTTGGACGAGATGATAGCAATAACCGGAGCTCAATGACTTCGCTGGAAGACTCACTCAATATGGTAAAGCTTAATTCACAAGTCATTTTAACATTAAAAGGAAGCATCTATTCTCAAATTTCAAATATCTGCAGATTAATCCACACTGCAGCATATAAGATCCCTACTTACAAGTTGTAATGCGATGAGTTAGAATAGACTAATAATAAATTCTGAATTGATACTACCCATATCTAAAATCTGGTATGTATATTCACGTGAATCTTCATTTCACCTTGAGTTCCTATGTTGGATCCCTTATAAATATGGCTATGTCTACAAGCAAATGTACATACTGTGTATACATATCATATCTTGCATTCTTGCGTTACTCAAGCTTGGGTATTCAAGTACACTTGGGTTTGCATAGCAATCGTAGCATATTGATTGTCTTATACGTTTATCTTGATCTAAACATGTACACTTCATATCCAGGGCCAAAAAGAAAATCAGCCGAAGAAGAATAGCTCAGCTAAATTTACTGGCTCTCAGGCCAAATTGAGTACCCAACACACAGAGATCAGAAGTGAAACAGCTAATGGCAGCTCATTATATGACATACTCAGAAGCTCTTCTGCGGAAACAAGCTATGATACTCGTGATAACGCAGTTGGTCAAGAAGCTGTATTTGCTGCATTTAAATCAGTGAAGAAACAAGTAAAGATTGAACAAAGAACATATCAAGGACCTTAAAAATGCGTCTTAGGTCTAGTTTTTGTAGGTCTTTCATATTGTAGTATTTACTGTTAGTTTGGTAAATTATGTGCATTATTATATGTCAAGATATTCAGCATTTTCAACACCGGCCTTCTAATTCCAACAAATCAAGAGTTATGCCTCTGGCATTATAGCTGCAGATGTTCTCCTGACAAAGTTAACTTACAATGCTAGCACCATATGCAATAGGCTAAAAATAGATCATGGGTCGAGTTTCAATGACCACCAATTATGAAAATAGATTAAAACTAACAAGCTAAGGATTCAACGAAATGAGCAAGGATCCAATGCATTACACAGATGTAAGATAATCTTGCCGAGCTTGGAACATTTTTTTCTAAGCCCCATAGTAAACTGATGGAAACATTAGAAATTGTGCTTGTAACATAATGCTAGACTCGCTGGTCGCTGGATAGCCAGGATAGGTTATTATAGGGCTATCAAGCCATACATATTTCATAGGCTAGTCCAAAGATTTTCAACATTGTGAGTTTGGTTTTGACTCTTGAAACATTTTAAGCTATTTGATGGTCAGAGCCATGATTTGTTTTAAGAATTTTAGAATTGACTTGAACTTGTGAAGCTTCAAATTAATCCTTTAGGAAACAAGTAATCATCATCATCATGAGCCAAAGATCCCGGTTAAAAAAAGCTTACCCGAAGCCAATACAAAAAGAAAAGGCTTAATGATGTGAAATGAAGATATTATTTTATTGATTGAAGTTTACCTTGAATTTTGTCCATAACAATAGGGTTCATCAATGAAACTCTTATTTAGCATAAAGATCCGAAAATAGCTACTAGAAAAAAAAGGATCACAAGCTGCGAACTGTACGTCATACATAATTGACAGTAGCGCTCGTTTTGCATCATATATTACACATTTAAATAAGACTGATGCTTCTCTCTTCTTATTGGATGGTGGTGAAACCTGTAAACTATGATGTACAATACAATTATTTACAATTTATATTTGGTGTAGTATGTATGTACCATCTTTGTGTACTTCAAACAGCAACTTGAGCAGCAGCTAGTCTAGCAATGGGAACTCTGCCAACAGAATTAAAACCATATTCATATGACTGCTCAAATTAAAATAAAAATAAATTAAATGCTTAGGCAAGAATGTATAAGCACAAGAATAAGCATGGTAAACCTGAATGGCGAGCATGAAACATAATCAAGTCCAGCTTCGGCGAAATATGCAACAGATGAAGGCTCTCCCCCATGCTCTCCACATATACCCACCTGTGAGTGTATTAAAAGCATACGAAGTACTTTTTAGTGTGTTTCAGTAGATGGAAAAGTACAAATGGTAGGTTGGTCCTGATATAGTTTATCACAGGTTTGAAAGCAATGAAAGTACGGCTGGTCACAAGCAGAATTGAATTCTAACTTGACTCAACTTAGCATAATTTCAACAAGTTCAAACTTAGGCACAACTCGTCTTGAACTTGATAGGCTGGATTCTGCTGATTAAATGAAAATTTGAGTTCAAGTTCAAGCTCAGCTCAATGTGCTCAACTCCATGCCAGTGTTTAACCCAGGAAAGCTGTGCTAAGAATCTCCTGATCTTTGTACTAGAGCAGCCAACTCGCGCGTTGCGTGCGGAATGACTAGCCTTTGCAACTTAATTTTACTTGTCTTGTGTTTGCACTTCACATGGAGGAATAAAAGACTGGCAAAGGAATATACTACCTCTGGTTCAATTTACTCGCAACAAAGGAATATTTTATGTCTCACAAATAATACCCCTTTGTTGCGAGTAAATTGAACCAGAGGTAGTATTTCTATTGCTTAGGCATTGTTTGTTTGTAGTCATGCTAAGTTGAATGTAATGTGTGAAATATCTCGTATATTGAAAAAAATCTTTATTTTATTATTTGTATAGGGTGATTCTTTTAATTGAAATACTATGTAGAGTCACTGTAGAATATAATTCATAGATTTTCAATGATAATGCAGAAAAGGAACAAATGTTAGAATTGTTGTTTGTTTATTTTCGCAATGTTGATATTAGCATTATTTAATTGTGGTGGAACAATACGAAATAGAGAAATAATCATCAATGATGAAACAGAAACGACCAATTCCTAATCCACCACAGAGGCTAACAATATTAAACAACCGCTATATATTGGTATTGTCAAATTTTTTTGCCACAATTTGATTTGGAAATTTCGGGAAGGTGGTGAACAAAGATGTGGAATTTAGTACTTGGAAATGGCAATGATAGTGTGGAGAGAGAAAGGTAAAAGCTTTCAAGAGATGGAGTCATGGAGAGGAGGAGAGAGAGCTCAAATGTGTAAGGAAATGTAGACGGGTAAGAACTATTTGAAGTTGGACTGTTGGAGTACAAAATTACAAATAAGAGTACAAAGGTAAAACACATTTTGAAGGGTAAATAGGGGTACAAAGGTAAAATAATATTTTGAAGGGTATAAAAGTCCGTGCACTATTCATAAAAACATCTTTCTACTTTTTATAAGGTAGGGATACACAAGTTTAGGCCTCGGGATAAATGATAGAGCAGTTTCATCAAAATTAAAATTAAAATTTTTCACAAGAGCTCAATAACTGTTTTCAGCTACTTTATTGCTCAAATATGACATATATTGAGTTCAATCTCAGCTCATTTACAGAAACAGGAACATGAGCTAAGTAGGATCAACCAGATCCGAAATGCCCACGAGTTGCCTTTTGTTCTTTTATTTTATTTTATTTTATTTCTTTTTTGTGATCAATCTTTAATGCTATTTAGAGATGAATACCATCACATCACGAGACAAATGATCACTCTAGGATTAAAAACACTGACTTGATTGTTATTTGCAGCCCAATTCCTAAAAATTTATGGGCGCTAGGCATAATGTAAGAAAAGGGCCTCTTGCTTAAACAATTTTTTTATACGCAATAAAAATAACTTATATTATTTAAATATTAATTCTCGATACACAATAATAACTTTGCATAATATTAAAAATAAAATTTTCCCTCCTGAAAAATCATAACAAGCGATTTCTTTTAGTATTTTTTGATGCAAAATTATTTATAATTAAATCAACACCGATGTTTTCTAACATATTCGTCTCAATTGACAATTCTTAACCGTTTCCATAATATTAATTAGCCAAAATTAAAAAGCTTGAATTTTGGAAATTGAATAAATATGAAACGATGTAATTGAAAAGATTAATATTTTGGAGTAGATAATCATAGAAACCGCAAGATTAGAAGAAGTGAAGGGTTATATTGCATTGTAATCTCCACCTAATTGACGGCTAATGTTAATTGCTACATAAATGCAGTAATTATCTTTTTTAAAATTATTATTATTATTATTATTATTTATTTTTTTTTTATTTTTTTTTAAATGAGTAAGAAGTACAGAGTTAAATTATACGGTATTTTTTTTAAAATTGGGCCCCTTTCTAGCGTGGGCCCTAGGTGGTCGCACTTGAGGCCTACTCCTCAGGGCCGACCCAGGTTATTTGTAATTAAATATATATAGTTATTTGTAATTAAATATATATATTGAGACAAATTCAACAAGATCTAACTTGTCTATGTGATTTTTACATATAAATTACCAACATTGGTCAAAGTGGACTATGCTACTATGTGCATAGCGCTAATGGAAAAGTGTTAGGTTAAAAATAAATGGGGTTAGTAAATTATTTTGAATTAGCACCTCACCTACAAAAATGACTATAAATTGAATTTGAACAAACCTTCAAGTTTAAACAATTTCTGAAATGGATTGGTGATTAAGGCATATTGATTTCCATGTTGTAATTTACCTTCAAGCTAGGCCTAGCAGCACGACCTTTCTCGGTTGCAAGTTTGATGAGTTGGCCCACACCTTTTTGGTCGAGAACCTAAATTCAAATTGAGCAGCATTGTGTAAAGACTAGTTAATTGATTGCCAATTCTGATGGGATGTGAGTATTGAGTCAGACTGACTTACCACAAAGGGGTCAGTTTGCAGTATGCCTTTTGACAAGTATACAGGAAGGAACTTCCCAACATCATCTCTGCTATACCCAAATGTCATCTGTGTGAGATCATTTGTTCCAAAAGAGAAGAATTCTGCTTCCTTTGCAATCTACAAAATAAAATATTGTACTTCAATATTTTAGGTAAGTGTAGTACCTCAAAAATGCACAAAAATAAAACAATTCCAATGAACTGTAACATACTATATAGATGTTTATCAATAAACCTAGCTTTAGTAGTAAGTTTCACTCTGCTAGAGCTGTATGTTGGAAACCACCTGAGTATATACTAAAGCTATTATATGAATCTTTAAGAGGAAGAAAGTAATTTTATTGTACCTCGTCTGCAATTAAAGCTGCCCTTGGGATCTCAATCATTGTTCCCACCTTGTATTTTAAGGAAGAACCCATCTCAGAAAATACCTTTGTCGCTACTTCTCGTATCAAACTCACTTGATGCCCTAACTCCTGTCACTCAGATATGCAATAGTTTAGGGAACATAACATAAACAAAAAGCCTACAAATCAACAATCAAAGGGGATCAAAATAAATTTTAGAAAAGAAGTCAAAAAAAGTAATACAATATCCCCAACAAGTGTTATGCCTACTGATCCTGCCATTCAGGAAATAAATCCAGTGTTCTAACAAAGGTAGCAAGTCCAAAAGAGAAAAGAAAATAAATGTTGGCAAAAAGAAAAGGGTCCATGCCTGTGGTGTTCCGACAAGAGGAACCATAATCTCAGGAAGAACTGCAATACCCTGGTTGCTCATTGAAACTGCAGCTTGGAATATTGCACGTGCTTGCATTTCAGTTAGTTCAGGGTATGATATTCCCAACCTGTAAGGACACATCAAGTTCTAAAAAAAATTAATAATAACCTAATGACCCTATGGTCACTGTCATTGTGCACATAATGAAATGTTTAGATATTCTGCTTATGTGCTTAATCATTATGTGTCCATATATGAAGTAGAGTATCCATTATTCTCTGACATGAGTATCACAAGGGATTTAAAGTACATTGGCTTCATAAGATTTCTTTCATTTCTTAATTTTAGTATAGTATTAGAGGTTAGTTCTGTTGATTAAGGATTTATAAGAATTGACCTCTTTGTAAGACTGCGTACATCTGACCCCCCTCCCCCCTTCCCCTCCTACAAGTATTAAGTTGGTCGTGTTTGCTTAATAATTAATATTATAACACACGTCTTTTGAAGAAAGGCTACATTTCAGATGGTATATATATGACTTCTGATAACTTATAAATAGATATATATGCGAACACCTTATTCATTACCTGCAGCCCCTAAAACCCAACATGGGATTGACTTCTGATAACTTTTCTATTCTAGAGAAGACTTCATCTTCTGCCATCCCAGTTTCCGATGCCAGTTCATTCACAATTTGTTCCAAGTCACCTTCTGGAAGAAATTCATGAAGTGGAGGGTCTAGCAACCTTATTGTAACTGGAAGCCCTGAAATTAACAAAATAATAATAACAATAAAGCGCCTATTTACAAGGTAACTTAACCAAAATAAACATCAAAATATAAAATTTTCTTGCCATCCATGGCTCGAAAAATCCCCTCAAAGTCCGATCTCTGATAAGGTAATAGCTGATCCAGAGCTACTTTCCTCTGCTCAGGAGTTATTGCCATTATCATCTTCCTCACTGTCTTTATCCTGTCATCTGAAGCAAAGAACTAAGACAATGCATACATTAATTATGTTTCCTTGAGTTATCTGGCACATTATGATATAAGTTTTTAACAAAAAAGAATCTCATGACTAAATGACTTGTAAGAACCAGACCAGAACAAAGGCAGTGAAGCCTTCTAAATATTATTAAAATCACTTCTTACTTGAATAGGACAGACAACACACGATTTAGCCATTATTGAAATGAAATTAAAGGCAACTCCTGCATGACTCCTGTCAAAGTTGAGTCTAACAAGATTTGAAATATTTGCAATCACATTTCCACTACAAAACTACAAGTATATACAAAATTTAGCATCAAGGGCATTATAATGTTATTTCAAAATTGAAATAGCCCTTCTTTGTGATAACTACTGATAAATATAAAAGCAACACCAACAAATCATGAAATCATCCCATAACGATAGATTACTAAGAGAAAAAGTGTAAACTACCATGTGCTCAGTCCTACAAAGTCCAATTCCTTCAGCACCATTGTTTCTTGCTGCTAATGCATCTTCTGGAGTATCTGCATTTGCCATGACCTGTACATATACTAACAGTGAATGTGATTTATAATAATTTGCGATGTTTTCCATGATTTTAGCCTTGCTATAGCCAATGTCAAAGAAACAGTCTATAATGAAAGCTACATAGATAAAATACTATCAATCATAGTTGTTTAGGGAATGATGGAGGTACGCTAACTTGTAACTGTTTCTTAATGAATGCTTGTATGTATCACTCACACAATTAATATCTGCACATAACTCCAAGGTAATTCTGACCAGATTTTGGGATGGCTAAGTTTGATGAGGAAAATGCAATGCATGGAATTGAGAAACAGTATGTCGAAACTTTATAACCTTAAGGCGTCGTATGTTATCAGCCCATGACATGAAGATTTCCAGGTCCCCACTGAGAGCAGGAGGTGATAGTGGTTCTTTCCCTAAGATCACTTCGCCAGTTGATCCATTAAGAGAAAGCCACTCGCCTTCAGATATTGCTTTGTTTCCAACCACAAGAACCTGGAAAATGAGCAATAAATCTCACACATCACATCAGATAAACAATGATCAAGGTTAAAATATAAAGTAAACATAGGAATTACCTTGTTAGTATCATTCACTTGGATCTCAGAACACCCTGAAATGCAACACTTTCCCCAACCACGAGCCACAACAGCAGCATGAGATGTCATTCCACCCCTTGCAGTCAAGATTCCAACAGCTGCATGCATGCCCCCTACATCCTCTGGACTAGTTTCGGTCCTCACCTTTATAATGCATATGTATGTTAGTCGGGACAAAGAAATCAGCATTCACATAAGTTCAAGAAGGTAAACTATTGGAAATGTATGCTTGAAAACCAATAAAGGTTGTAACCTAACACTACATGATGTCGCACATGTTCCAGATATTCTGTTGAACTTGATCTCAGCACGTAAACTTGATAATGAAGATTATATAAATCACTTTTCTAATGGAAAGTGAATATTTTCTAGAGGCTCCGACTTGCTATATTTTAAATATAGTTCCAATCAAGGGTCTGCCTAGACGCATGTGATAGTCCATAATTCTCATGAGATAAATGTTATGGGCCTAAATCACTTGCCTAGAATGGGGTTCAAATTTGTGCTCATAATCTTTACCCCCTATTAGAGGGTAATCATTACCCATGCCTCCTTAGGGAAAATATTAGTGTAATTTCTCTCCATTAGCAATCTCTTCACCTTCATCTTCTCACACACCGCCACTCTTATTTTATTACTATCGTTGTTCTCTCACCCTCACCACTCATCCCTCGCTATAACCAAGGGCGAAGGGAGGGGGGGGGGGGCTGGTGGAGGTCCGGCCTCCCCGGCCCAGATTTGCTACCCATACAATAAATACACCTTGTCATGTTGGTTGGGTAATGTTTTATTTTGCCAAGGGGGTTGGGTTCGAATCCCATCTCCCACATAAGTTTTTTAATTAAAACTTCTTATTCAACGTGGGTTTCTAATTGTCCAAAAAAAACGTGGGTTTCTAGCACTAGATTTTTTTTTTTTTTTTTTGTCGTAGATTTTAGTGTTTAATCTTTGATTGATGATTTTATAACTATGCATCAAGTATGATTTAACTAATGTTTTTTAGTGACAATAAAATATTAGTACACTTTAATTTTTTCCATCAATCTATTGTCTAATAAGTCCGGCCCCCGGGACTTGAAAATCCTGGCTTCGCCCCTGACTATAACCGTCGTTCTCTAGTCAAGGGTAATGTATTACAACATATTCTAGTCATGTTCAAGATGAGAAGGAGGATAAGCTTAATCATTAAGAGGTTCAGTAGATAAATGCACATTTATTACAACAGCGACAATATGATACCAGTGGCGGATCCAGGATTTTCGAACTGGTGAGTCACCATCAGGATTTTCGAACCGGTGAGTCACCATCAATAATAATTGATCACTTGTTTCAATCTAAAAATTATTTAGAAAAAAAAAAAATTTCACTAAAATGATTTCAATCCAAAAATAGGACATAAACTAATATCTATAGTAATTTATAAAGTGAAAGGGGGTTTTGGACGATAAATTTTACTTTTCCAAAATACCCCTCTCATCTTTTATTTTTATTTTTTTAAAAAAATTTACCATCCTTTTTTTTTTAAAAAAAAAAATGCAACTACCATCTAAAAAAAACTACCATGTTAGGAAATAAGGGTGTAATTGTGTTTGATTAATGCGGAACAAATCGCCTTTAAAAAAAATGCGGAACAAATCAATGGAAAATAAGAACGAGAAAAACAATAAAGAAGATAAATAAAGAACACAAGGATTTACGTAGTTCAGTCAAATTAGACCTACATCCACGGGTGGGGGATTCGAGAGCTTCAGAACAATACAAAGGAGTCCTAAATCTAATGGCTCAAAAAGGTATGATTTAATTGATCAACTAAAGGGTCTTTTTATAACATAACTGTAATACCCCGTATTTTTATGTATTTTTATAAAGTATTTAAGTATTAATAAAATGTATTGTCAAGGGCTCAAGTATTTTATTTAAATATTTTAAAGGGTTAAAGTATTTTAAATATAAAGTTTTATAAAAGTAAAATATGTTTTGGGCCAAACGTTTATTAATTATTGGGCAATGTAAATTATTCCTACATACCCTTATTGGAATAACCCATTCCAAAACCCATAACTTAAGTCCTATCCCATAACTCAAGCCCACATTTTTATAAGCCCAAATTTAACCCTACACTCTCTACTCTATAAATACCCCATGAATCTCCAAAAATTTCCCACACAAAAAGGTTAGTCTTATTTTCTCTCTCATTTGTTTTATTAATTTGTGTAATTATAATTATTGATTAATTTATGGGTTTTGATTTTATTGTTTGAAATTAATTTAATTAGTATCAAAGTGTATGTTGATGATTAAACTTTATAATTTTCAGATTTTGTAAATTTTATAATCTAGGGTTTTTAATTATTGAAAATCAAGATTTTAGGGTTTTAATGAATAATTGATTTAGGGCTTTTATAGTATTGATGTTTTGAAATTTTGGTGATTATAACTAATTATTAGTTTAAATTAATTCCAGATTATTTTGGAACACGTAAATTCATGTTTTAATTATTAGATTTCCGTTCGTTAATATTAATCCCGTTTTAATCCTGATTAGGTTCTAAACTCCTCTGATTCTGATAAAAAAATAGTGTTTTTCGAGTGGAAACAACGTTTTAAGTGACAATTTTTGATTTTCAGCCTCTAAATACGATTTTCGAGCAATTTTTGATTTTTAACGAAGTTTTTTTTTATGCTTTAAATTTTATCTTTGAGTTTAAAAGGGGTAAGAGATAATTTAATGTTTCTATGGATAATTTAAGTATAAAGATGTATTTTGATGAAGTTTTAAAGGATTTTTGATTAGTTTAAAATGTTGAAATTTTATTTAAAGTAGTATAATTGTGATTTTTAATAAAAGGGTGTGATTATCCATTAAAAAGGAGTTTAATTAGGGGTTTTTAAATAATTTTCAGATTATTATAAGTTATTTAAAGTGAGTTTAAGTTGCTGGAAATTGTGTATACAAGGGTAATTAATATAGTATTATTGTCCCTTTATGTAGGAGACTTGGTTCGAGAATTGTTGTAGAGTACTTGGTTATTTTAAGAGCTTATTTGAGGTACGTTTACGTACTTAGCATATTTTGATGATGTAGAATCATGCTAGGCTTGATTTCAATCAATTACAAGTAGTATCATGCTAAGGTTTATGTATGGAATTGTGAATTTATGATGTTGGTGATTGAATTGTGAAGCATGAATTATTTGTGATGGTTTATGGTTGGAAAATTATATTTTGGGCATGTTGTATTTGAACCACACTTTTATTTATGGCATGTTAGAATGCATGATTAATTAAAATACATGTTTAATTATGTTAGGAATATTGAAAAGGAATTTTATTATGGTTCAAATAATTTTTATTGATGCTTTAAGCATGAGGAAGGAATAAATTGTATGTTGGTGCCTTTGTGCACTTAAGGTATTTTTAACACCGAGGGATAGTATTTTTGGCGCATTATGCGTTTAAGGTGTCTTTGACACTGAGGTAGAATTAAAAAGGGTTCAACAATAAATAATATGTGGTCACTAATTATTCAAGAATTAAATTGGTATGTTTGTTTGATTGAATAATTATTGTTGATTTGACTTATTATGCTTTGAAAGTCATCACCAAGTCTAATAACATGTAAATAACGTAAAGTGAAAGAGATTACGCACCAAAACTCTTGGAACGTATATACCTTGAGTATGAACAATGGGGGGAGTTATGGGGTTTTATATTTAACCATAACTTCTAATATAGTACAAGACGCTGTATTTTTTTTTTTTTTTATTTATTATTATGCGCAGGAATTCCGCCACCTTTGAGTGGTTTTGTCGCTGGCACGGTTAGCTCCCGTGTCAGTTAACCTCAATTTATTTGGGGGAGGTTAGGAGGTGGAAACTCGTTCGATGCGTAATCAATGCAAAATGAATTAATTAGTGTCTAGTCAATGTGTCTTGTTGATTTGTGTGTGTGCTTGTGAACAGGTGCAATGAGGTAAGTGTGTGTTGATAGGTGAAAGCATGTTAGTGTGGCTAATTTACGCTTATGTACTCAACTTTGCTGATTGTGTGTGTGTTTGTGTATTTGGCCATGTCTTTATCTTGGCCCTATGATGACCTATTTTTAATGGAGAGTAGTGGAAACAAGTAAAGATAAACTTTTTCAGGTATTGAAGCATGATCATGATGGGGCATGAGAGAAGAGTGAATCTCACTAGTTTTCATTAGGTTACAAGGTGTTTTATGCTTTATTTATTTATGACATATTTTATGTGGACTAACACAAAGGTTTGGTTTTGGAACGGTTTTTGAATAAGGGCCTTTAATGGTTCCAAGTTGTAGTTTGATTTTATTTGACTTGACTTTCGTTGGTTGACTTTTCAAGTTGACTTGTTTTGAACGGTTTTGAAGTTAGTCTTTCGCTGTGTGTCTTTGATGGTTGCTTTAGCCGTTTTCACGGTGGCGGTAATATCTTAGATATTCCTATTTAAATTTTTAAACAGACAAAACATGTATTTTGAAAGAAAGGAATTTCTAGGGTGTTACAACAAGGTTACCCTAATAAAACCCTAAGATTGTTCCCCAAGTATACTCAAATAGCCGTCATAGAAAAGATATAATTTTAGGAAATTATCCCTAAAATAATTAAGCTGAAACCGGATCCAAAAAAATTGAAATTATGACTAGGCATGGGCGTGTCTCTTTTAGGCACGGTAGTGTCTTATCAAGTACTTCGTCAGTATATTTCCAGCGTCAGTTCTTCGTAAAACGGCCTTAACTTTCTCGTTTCTTATCGGAATTGGGCATATGACCTATCGTTGGAAAGCTCTTGAGCCAAGCTATTACCTCCAACTTGAATCACCTCAAAATCATTTGTAGTTTGAGAGATATCTACGTTCAAAGTCAAACCTACTAGATTTCGAACTGGAGAAACTTTGCTGGGTAAATTCAAAGAGCGATTTGCGAACTGGAGAAACTTTGCTGGGTAAATTCAAAGAGCGATTTTGAAGTGGGTGAAGTTTCTGGTGATTTCTGCGTAAAAGGACTTCGAAGGTAACCCATTGCATCCCAAATTTTCCCTCTTTGTAGTTGTTGAATTATGTATAAAGATGTTAAATTTAGGGTTTCGATGTTGTAATTTGTTGAAATTAATTACATATGTGCTTG